GTGCCGAGAAAATGCTGCGCCGGCTACGTTACCCGAGCCCGAAAAGGATAGGGGCTGACCCCCAGCGAGCCCCTTTCGTGGTGTCGAGGGCGTGCCACGCCTGCCACGCTTTGCGAGCCAGGAACGGATTGGGGGATCACCCCCAGCGACCCCCTTGAGGTGTCGAGGAGATGCCACGCCTACCACGCTTTGCGAGCCCGAAGCGGATAGGGAGGCCCCTTCCAGCGCAACCCTCATGGTGTCGATGGAGTGCCACGCTTGACACGCTTTGCGAGCCCGAAACGGATAGGGGGACCACCCCAAACGCCCCTTTGTTGTGTCGAGGGCGTGCCACGCCTACCACGCTGTGCGAGCCCGATGCGGATAGGGCGACCACCCCCAGCGCACCCCTCGTGGTGTCGAGAACGCGCCCCTCCTGACACGAACTGTGCATTTTCACATGAATGTTTTGTGTATGGCGTGTCTTTGTGTATGTGTATGATGCGTGTGTGGCTGTATGTGGACGTTTGTCGCAAAGGGGGGGTAGTGTTTGTGTATTGTGAGCTGAGCACGCCAGGTGTATACTAGCGTTGTATGGTGTGTATGTGCGTTTTGTTTTGTGTGTGTGTGTGTCTGCGCGGCTGTAAGTTTGTGCCTGTCTGATGTTTGTCTGTTTGTGTGTGCGTGTGTTTTGTTCGTGCGTGTCCAAGGTTGTTGAGTGACAACGATGTGCAGATGGAGAGGTGAGGTGAGCTTCGCGGCTGGGACGCGGTTTGAACAAAAATCCAGAAACCCATTGACCAGGTGGGGAGCACGTCCATGTTATACACGACATTTCTCAGAGCCCAGCGCGGATTCCTCGGATCGGCACAGCCTTCCTGGCAGCGCCTCCGGCGCCGCCCTGGGAGGGGGTCCAGTGCCGATCCAAGAGATCCGCGAGGACCTTCCAGAATTCGACGTTCGTGCAATTCGTTGCGCATCTGAAAGATTGTTGTTGCGTCTTGCGGCGTCTAGGGTTAAGTCGGGCCCGTCTCTCTACAGGAGGATATTCCAAAATAGTCAAACATAGTCTGGGGACTTTGCAAACAAGACAAAAAACATGTTGGAGCATTTCTGGAGTATTTTTGATTTTCCGCCGAAAGTCCCTCTGTACGGGGACAGGGCCGACTTACGTCTAGGGACGAGCAGCAGGTGTCACCTGCAGGGCGTCCGAGAAGCCTCTCGGGGTCTCCTGCAGGGGGCCTCCTCGCTCGCTCCTGGTCGCCCCCCGGCGCACCCTTGGAGCCTGGATGGGTTCTCCTGGGCTCTCGGCCTCCTGGGGCTTCTTGACCAGGGCACCTGTGCCAGGAAGGGCCAAGAAGGGGGCACCGAGGACTCCGTGCGCGTGGGTGGGGCGGGGGGGGGGCGCGGCCGCCTCGGGCTGGGAGAGCTCGCTGCATGTCGGGCGGGCCTCCTGCCTCTCTCCGAGTCCGGATCCGCTTCGGGGCTCTTGGCAGCTCAGTGGTCGCGGGAGCCTGCGAGCCTACAGAATCAGGGGGCGCTCGCACCACCAGCTGCAACTTGGAGTCCCCCAAAGGTGGTGCCCTCGGCGGTGTTCGCCTCAGCCGGAAGGAGAGAGGGAGACAGCCGTTCGATGCGGTCAGCGTCATTGTGCTGGACACCCACGGAGCTCTGGCTGCTGTTTGAAGCCGATCATGGGCTGGGACTCGCAGCGTGTGCCAACGTTCCTCCACCCTCTCGTCTCACGAGGCTTCAGGAGTAGGGGAGGATCTCTGAACAGGTTCACCCTCATCGCTGAGCATGGCTTCCAGATCTGGAGGCCTGGCACAGAGGCCATGGATTGCCGAGTCGGCGTTGGCGGAGGAAGATTAGTAGGAGGCAGTAGGCGGGAGGAGGATGGGGATTGCAGACAAGGACGTTAATTGGGAGGGGGAGTTGGTGGCGGAGAAGACCGAACACGGCGTTTGAGGAGGCGAAGGAGGAGGTGTTGGCGGACGAGGAGGAATATGAGGGGGGGGGACGCAAATGTGCAGGTGTCAAGCTCGAGAAGAAGGGTCCTGGGTCAGAAGGTCGCGGCGTTATGAGAGGTCCAGTGCGGGATGAGATAGCAACGACACCCTTTCAGAAGCAGCCTTCTTGGAAAGCTGCGCCCCCTATCCTCACTGCGTTTACTGACGGCCAGTCGGTGGGTGGTTTGGAGCTATGTTCTGGGTGCGTGGGCGGAGGAGCGCTATGCCAGAATTCCTCATTCCGTTTCGCTCTCTCGCCCTCCCAAAGTAGAAGGAGCGTTCAGGCTAGATGATAGCACGTATTCCTTGGACGTCGGCGCCGTCCTCTTCGGCGTCGCCGTGGTGGTGGTGGTGGTGGTGGTGGTGGTGGTCGTCGTCGTCGTCGTTTGGTGTGGTGCTATAGTATTTTGTTGATCGCAGATACGAGGGGCGACCTCGAGCACATAATCGCGGAGACCACTCAGGCGATCTATGCCAGCGGCTTCTCTTGAAAGAAGACTTCGTTACAGGTCATGGCTGCGGGTGACGTGTCAAGCACGCACTTCGCCGGGGTTCACTGCGGCAGCTGGGCCCCGCACCTTACCTTCGCAGCGGTCGACCGGAGAATCGTTCTTGGGGATATGGTCGATAGCCAAGGCAACACGTTGGTTGATCAACGCCGAAGGTACTTCTGGGTCAATTCGCGCGCCTTGTGCGCAACAGCTACGGTGGAAGACAAGATGGGAGAATTGTGCAGAGGACCGCGGGCTTCGGCGCTGCACGGGGCAGAGACGTGGCTCGTGACAGCAGATCTCATGCACAAGCTGCGGAGCTGGGAGTTCAGATTTCTCCGACGCGCCTTCTGGCTAAGACGTAAACCCGTCGAGACGTATCACGATTATTTGCACAGAGCGGCGAACAGGATGGAACGATGTGGTTCATGTTGGTCATCATCCCATTCATGTTGCTGTGCTCGGATACGTGTGTAAAGCTGCCTACAAAGAGCCGCGGCGCGCAACGACGAAGGTATTTCGCCGCTATGTTTGGCAAGAGGTTACAACTCGAGAGTAACGTTGGCCACGGTGAAAGATTTGGACGCAAAGCGGGGGTGCAGGGAAGGGTTGGTCCAGAGATGTGGCGGACACTGGCCACCATGGGGAGGTCCGATCGCGATAGCACATTGGCGCCAGCAACGTGGGCCCAAGTCATTGGCAGACTGGAAAGCAACTCGCGTGCAAGGCATTTTCGTTATATGTTCAAGATGGCTGCTGCCTGTTAACGACGACGACGACGACGACTGCCGGAGGTTGTCCAGCAAAACGTACGCGCACAGACCAGGAATCCGAAAACAATAAACTAGCTCTTGCAGGTCTTGAGCAGGAGGCGCACGAGCTCTGACAGTGTCGCTGTAAATTTCTCCTGGGCGTTGGCAAGGCAGCATTTTTGGTCACGGATTTACAAATACGTCGGGTTGTTGTATGTGGACATGCTAAGTCACGCGGACCAACATACGATCCGTTCTTATCACGGACGTTAGCTACTCCCGCACATTGAACAAGACCCGGTGCAGTAGTGGAGGCGGGATCACAACAAGATGGCCGAGGGATTGGCTGATCTCCAAAACGGTGCTCATGGACAAAAGGTATCTACGATTTATACAGCACAGAGACAACGCCAGCCTCATCACCTAGGTAGACGGAGGGTTTCGTGAACGAGACTGCGCGGCAGCGTCGTTCATCATTGGGCTTTAGGGTTTTAGGGTAAGCGGGATATCGAGGACGATGACAGCGAGCCCTTTTTCATGAACTGTGGATTGTACATGTCGCCTTTTCTAGAATTACCCATGAGCGTATTCGGTGCAGAAACACTAGCATTCGATGAGGTTTCCCAGGAGCCTGCTATCCTTTATTGCAACCGAGTGTAGGACAAGTTGAAGTCTGAGGCATCCTGGGTTGTGGCAAAGGAAGAGAGAGAAAGAGGTTGACGAGGTGGATGTGGATGGTTTGCGATATGATAACGATGCGTCAGTAAGGGCGAGAAAGGTGCCTGTACGTACTTTGCAACGCTGCAGGAAGGTATGCAAGAACCAGACCCTGAGAGTCTGGAGTACCGGGGATGCTGCAACGCCGCCCGACGGCCAGGGACACCTCTTTGCAATGACGGTGTTTAGTTTCTATCAGGATGTCCGTGCAGGAGCGCCTCGAACGGACCAGGTCTGACATATTCACTAAGTGAGGCGCAATTTTGCAGCGCTTCGCAGCCTGTTTCGCCGCGCTGCGAGGATGCATTCTTGGCTTCGTCTTCGGGCAAACCGCGTGCCAGCACTTGGTGACGGTGCCAAATTGCAGCACCGTGTTGCTGCCACGCGCACTGATCCGTGCCCAAGCGCCCAAATATGATTCATTGTTGTTGTCAGCGCCATCGGGTCCTCGTCAACATCCGAATTGCCAGCGTCGCCGCAATCGTCATTTCACCTGCGTCGGCTTCGTCATCATAAGCATCATCATCACCACTGCTGCTGCATGGGTCAGGACTGCTGGACGAAAAATCGAAGCGGGGAACGCGATGGGAACACGCGGAGCGGGGACAGGCGGACAGGGAAGGGGGGAGCGGACCAGTGGGAGGCGGAAACAAGGAGGAGAGGGGGAATGGTCGGGATGAGAGGAGAGGGGAGGGGAGAGGAATAGGGGCGTTTGAAAGTGACAACGTCGTATCGGTTAGCAGCCCGCAGCACGTTGTCTCAGCCATGTGATACAGCCATGTGTGCCACGGGGCTGACCTGCAGCGCTGTGACGCGGTTCGAGTGTGTCGCAGCGGTTCCACGTATTTGCGTATTTAAGAGGTTTCGTTCCATGGCACTGTTGCCGGCTCCATCATATTTCATATGCGTCGTCGTCGTCCTCGTGGGCGCGTGCGTTTTGGAGGGTCGAAAACTTGCGCAAGGTCTTGGCGTCAACGTGTACTGCGAATGTTTCGCGCCATTGCCTGTCATGTCTTTCATGGCGAACGGTGTGTTACATCTTGCCCGTGGTCTGCCGCTTGGTAGTGGCATCGTGTCGCAGCCCGCGAGCGCCACGATCGCCACTGCGCACGGCCAGTGTTGATTGGGCTCACGGGGTGGCATTTCTCAGGAGGGAAACAAACACACAGACACAATTAATCGTCGATTCCCCAGAAAATATGGGAAAATATGGGAAGTGGGGGGAAGACAGAAACCCAGAACATATGGGGAAATATGGGGAATATTTTTATCTGTGTGTATTTATTTGTGTGTCCCAGTTCCCTTTCACTTTCGCAATTCCCAGCAGTTTTCCCCCGCCGGCGGGGTGACAGAAGCGTCGGCCGCCGATCTCCGATGCCACGAGCTTCGCGCCGCAGTTTTGGATGGCCGCGCGAAGAGCTCGGCGAAGATCACGGGGTCCGCGACCGTTCAGCGGCCTTGATTGGGGAAACGTAAGACTCGGGTGAGCCAGAACTCGGGTTTGCCGACGTTTTTTGACGAGCGCGTCCTGGATTTTGACGGTCCCGTTTTCGTAAAATGTCTGCAGCGGGAGCTCGCGCCAAATTCCAGACCGGGTCTCGTCATTTTTATCATGGCCCCCGTCAGGCCAACCCGAGTCCCCCGTATCCGAGTCTTACGTCTCCCTGACTTGAGTGCGAAGTTGTGCACTTTTGTTTTCTTGCCTCCTGTGCCTCGCAATCAGGTTTGCTGTCTCGTCGGAAACTGGAGCATATACATTACCGGTGGCGGGCGGCTTTGCAATCCCAGGACTTTTTTTGTTGAGGGTCGGGGACGGCGTTGGGGTGGTGTGGTGTATCTTTGTTTCTTTGTTTTCCTGGGGAAACAGGATCCGCTCTCCTGTGCGAGATTCAGTGTGAGGCCAGACAGAGGCGTCGGTGCATATAGAGCTCGGTTCCCTATCTCGAGCTCGCATGACCTCTGCTCCTCCCCTGCGTCTCCCCCCCTTTCTTTCACCTCTTCCATCCCTTCTTGCCTCCCAATCCCCCTCTTTCAGCGCGCTCGGGCGTGTGGGTACAGTCGGGGCCCTGAAGAAGGAACCCTTTTCGTTGGGGAGGGGCTCCGCGTTCCTTACGTGTTTCGCAGCTTGCCTCAGGCTTTCCTTAGGTTTTCGACGGGAAATCGAAGGTTAACTTGTGGAAAAAAGGGGCCTCGCTCCTTAAAAAAGGGGTTCCTTAGGTCAACGCCCCGACTGTATGGCGTTTGCTTTTTCTCCTCTCCCGCTCCCTGCCCTGGCTCGCGCCCCGCGGACGCGCTGCCCTCGATTCTCCCCTGCTCTCGACCCCCCCCTGCTCTTTCGCCTGGCCGCATCGCTCGGACGTGTGCACTTTTTCCTCGGCGAGAGCCATGGAGGACCATCCTGGACCATCGAGCAAAAAAAAACACGCACGAAACCGAAAAAACACAGGGAATGGACGTCCCGGAGCCGTGCTCCCCGTGGCTGGCACCCCTGGGGGACTGTCGTCGCCGTCCACCCGGGCGCCGAGGGAGCATCCGGCGGGTGAGCTCCCCCCCGCCCCCGCGTGGCGCGCTGTGCGGACCGCCAGGCGGCGTGGCGGGTTCCAGGGGCCATGCGCCCCAGGTGTGGACTCGTGCGGGGGCTGCGGATCAGGGGGCGGAGGAATCGGGGGCTGGGGAAGTGACCGTCGGGCACTGCGGTGGGGTCTGGGGGGAGGGATGGGGGCAGTGCTCCGTGCCGTCGGTGCGCTCAGGGCTTCGAGCTGATGGACCAGGGCCACGCCGAGGTCTTCGACACGGGCGACCAGGACCGCGGCGCGTGGCCGGGCCATCTGCGCAGCGCCGCTGGAGCACGAACCGCGGCGCGAGTGCGCCACCGCCCCTCGGACGGCAGACGCCAGCGAAGCCTCCTCCTCCTCCTCTTCCTCCTCCTCTTCCTCCTCCTCCTCCCCCTCCTCCTCCTCCTCCTCCTCCTCCTCCTCCTCCTCCTCGGTCCAGGAATCCCCAGGGGTGTTGGGGGAGTTCCAGGGGGCACCGCCCAGAAGTCCCAACCCGACAAGCAGTGTGGGGTGTCCCACGGGCCCCCCAGCACTTTCGAGATTCCTTTGGATTCCTCCGATGCTGCAAGAGTCTTCGTGGGCTCCAGGGGCCTCCGTGAGCATCCATTTGCCTTACAGCACCCTCGGCCGCGTCCCTCTCAGGCGCCTTTGAACATGCTGCGGGGCGCACGCTTCCACTGGCGCTTCGTGAGCATTCGGTCAACCCCGCTGCTTGCGCCAGCGGCCTCCAACTCGTTCGCGAACGCCCCTGGGCATCCCAAGGGGGGGAGCCCAGCGGTGCCCCCGGGGGCCTCCCGGGGGGGCCCGCCGTGAGAGGCACCGTGCTCTCCTGCGCCGCCCGCGGCAGCCCGGGCGTCATGTGCAAGAGCCTGTGGTTTTTGTTCCTTTTGTTCTCGTGGGGCCTCACCGAGATCTGGGGGCAGGAGCAGGGTGTGGTGCGAAGCGAGGAAGAAGCATCGCCGTAAGCACAAACTTTTGGCGCTTCGCGCGGGTTCCCTGGATCCGCGCTGGGCGCCCCCTGGCGGCGCCTCTGGCGCCACCCCTGGCGCGGCCCGCGCGCCAGGGAAGGGGGTCCAGCGCGAATCCAAGAAATCCGCGCGGAGCGCCAACAGTTTGTGTTGATGTGTCTCATGTTTTCTTCTCGTAAAGGGCTTGGCGCCAGTGTTACGTAAAAGGATAATTTGGCGATGGTATAGATCGCGGGTAGCATCGCCATTTCCACTACTGACACCATACCCTTTTATGCAACACCCCTCTCCGACCCCCAAACGAGAGAGAGCCCCGCAGTGGGACGTGGGAGCCACGCCAGGCTTGGCGAGCCGACCAAGCGTGGTGAGCAGGGCGTCCCCTTGGCTTCTCGTCGTCTACTGCTTGCAGCAAACCTTCGTGACGCTTGGCGCATTCCCACGTGGCCCATCCATCCAGAAACGATTCCAGGCCACGAGCTTTAGGTAAACAAGGAGAGGGGGGCACAGTCAGCACGAAGCTAGCATTATCCCGAGCACCCCCCCAACCATGGCCAACCTGGGCACCTTTTGGGAGGTTCGCGGAGGTCTCTTGCAGACAGCTTGGTGCTCTTTTGGTCCGTCTTGGAGTTCTCTGCAGTTTCTCTTGGGAGCCTCTCTTGTCATATAGGCCTCCCTCATCCAGTAGCCCAGGGAGGCTTACTTGGGCTTCTTGAGCATGTCTTTGGACATCTTGGGCCGCTTGCTCGCTCGCTGAGGTACTCCTGTGTTGTCCATGGTCTGTCGCGAGGTGGTTCCGGGGCTCTGTAAAATCGTCTTGGGAACCAGTTGGGGTTGTCTTGGGGCGTCATTGGCGGTTCCTTAGGACCATTGTGAGTTTTCTTGGCACCCTCTGATGCCCTCATGAAGCAATGATGGGACGAACAGTGTTGATTAAAACACGTGCTGGGTCACTGGATGGACATGTGTCGATGTCTCTGCGGAGTATGTTGACTTCGTGTTGGCGGCGTTTTAGGGGTCTTGGGCGTATGGTCCTTTGTTGGCCTGGTTGGCCGTCTTTGGGCCGATCTTGGGAGCCTTGTGGGCCGGCTTAGACGGTTAGAAGCGCGAAAAGGAGATGACGCAAAGTCATGGAAAGCCAGATTAATCGATGGTTAGGGTGTCTTTGGGCCCTCTTGGGTGTCATCCTGGAACCCTCCTGGTGCGTCCTGATGGTCTCTTAGGCTGTCTGGTGGCCGTCCTTGGACGTCTCGCAGCACTCTTGGACCCTATCGTTGCCTCTTGGGCCGTACCAGGGCGCTCTTGGGAGCCTCCTGGACCGCGTTGGAGTTCTCAGCCCTCGCAAGGAATCATGCGGCATGCCCCTGGAGTCACGCTGCGGTGCCCGAGAGAGCCAGAAATTGGGATTGGGGCTGCTTCAAGAGCATCTGAATGCCCAATGCAGGAAAGGGGGACCTGAGCAAGCTACACTCAGTGTATACAGCACGATGGCGGATGAAGGATGACGGGAAGCGTCTTCGAGGAACGAGCCGCGAGTTGGACGTTCTGGCTGAACTTGCAACACATCCAAGCAGTACTGACATAATTTCCGTTCGGGGATGCAAGCAAATAGTCATTAGTAGCGGATTCCTAAACGTTTTCATTTCGCCAGAGACATCTTTACACAAATGAGTTGTTCGCAGCATCGTTTTTACAAGATTGAGTGCATCGCTCGAGACATCCTCCAGAGCTGGGCGAATTGACCCTTTACTTGATCATCACAATGGGCGTTTCGCTTGAGACATGCTCGACCAAATCCAATGCCGACAGCTGCTTGACCACCGCTTGCATTGACGACGCTCTCGCTCGAGACATTGTCAAACAATGAGCACCAGTACGACACTCCAGCATTTCTGTGTGTGGTTGTGTCTGCCTGTGTGTGTGTGTTGGCGTCGTTTCTAACCATGCCCGTTTCGTTAGGAACTTTTCTCACAACGTTGACCTCTTTCCAGCATCGTCGTGGTATCGTTTTGGGAATGTTTGTTCGGAGATGAAGAAGCAGTGGCCCGAAGAGGACCCTAGGCTGGCTCCCAAAGCGCCCTGAGGACATTCGAGCATGACGATTCCGCTAGGGACATCCCGAAGAAAACTAAGATACGATAGCATACCTTCGGACACACATCGTATCGAACATCACCTTGGTATCGCTTTCAAAAGGCCCCACGACGACGTAACTAGTCTTCCCACAAATGTGATTTCGCTAGGGGCACCCTCAACACGCTGATGTTTTTGAGATCGTAGTTGGGTTTATGTTTGAAGCCACGATGGCGTTCCAGGGTTGAATAGCTAAGTTCCCTAAGTTGGGGTCGGGGGGTGAGGTGGGGGCGGGGAAACGACTGTCAACGGGGGCGTATCAGTACGAACACCGAAAAGGGTTGTACACATATTGGTATGTATTACCATGCGGATCAAGCACATGATGCGTTCAAGCACACTGCATGCCATTCAACGGAACTCAAACGAGGGCGCACGCCCTACATAACTGGTGCCGTCCGTCGGCCGTGGGGGTTAGCGCGTTGCAGGGGATTGGTGGGGGGGGCGAGGAGGCTGGCTTGAAACTAAAAGAACGAGTAGGGGGGGCACCGGGAACGCAAGAGGCAGAGCTCCCATCGGACCCTTTTGGGTTTACAGACGGCCCCCCACGGAGCCACTTCACCCCGTGTAAGTTTTGCTGTCGTTATATGCGGCATCGCCGTCCGCAGCCATTTTGGGCTTCCAGGGTGCGACGACAGCCGCCCACCGTCACCAATGAAGTTTCTGCGCGTCGGATGGGTCCTTATGTTTGGCGATGTCTTTGTGTTGGGTGCCGAGGAGGAGCCAGGCGATGATTATCATCCCGTGGTCCCAGAGATTGTTGTTGCTGCCGCCGCTGGTCCTGATCGGAATAGACGGTTTGCTGGCCAACTCGCGAGATAGAAGCAATTATCTTCTAGAGCAGAAGAAATGTTGGGACGGACTTCGAAAACATTGCAACCGTCCCTTGTGGACGCATGTTTAGATGCCGTGTTCAAGCACACTGACAGCAGAGTGGCGAAACACGTTCAAATAATGGCACATGCTGTGCGATCACACTGCCAGGGTGCTCGAGTAGACAGGACTTTCCAGACCACGTGGACAGGGACCGTACTTTAATGTAGCAGCTCAAGCCGAAGATCTGCGAACATGTATTCAGTCCGATGATGTTGGTGCCGTATGTTCTCATTGCGATATGATCATTCGCATCAATATATTCGACGACGTTTCGATGATGATCTCGAAGCCTTCCGAGCATATCATGTGTGTTTGGCCTTTGGCAGCTGTGCTGCAGCCGGATTTCCAGTTTAGGAAGAAGGGAAGGACATGGACATGTCCATGTCCGTATTGAACAAGGCCCCTCCTCACAATAATTAGCGCGGTGAGGATTGAGGATGTCATGTATTGTTTGACGGGTCCGTCTTAGAGTGACATTCTATGTTTCGTTTCAGCTGGTTGCAGTGGCAACTGGAGGTGGTGGGTAAGTTTTGGCAGGCTGGCCCGCGTCATGGGGTCAAGGGTCGTGAGAGGGTTTCTGGGGGGGGGGCTTGGGACCCTGGTTCGATTGACTTGCGATCGGGCATCCTGAATGGTTTGATGCTCGCAATGCGTTTCAACGGCTTTGAAACGCATTGTGAGAGGCAGTGCGCCTGCCCCTGATGGTTGAGGCGCTGTTCAGCGTGGACCGCGTCTGCGCTGCTGGGGGCGGCGCACCCCGCCCAACCACGATGCCGCCGCGGGTCCGAGGCGCCGCCGTCGTTGCACCAGCACAGGTGCTACCACAAGCCAGTGCGTCGACAGTGCGACGGCGGCTGCTGGATTGGATTTTACTTTCCACGCGTGGTCCTGTCTCCGAACTTGATGTGGATGGTGAGTTTTCTGAGGCGCTGGTCTACGCGCAGTGGCAAATCATCGTGCACGTCACCGACAGTTTGAGTCTGATTCGTTGTGAATTGTGGGTTGTGGTGCGCACTATTCGAAAGGAGTCGCGGCGCAAGCTTCTTAAACATTGATTGTTGCGGTCGCTCCATCGTTCTTGGGTTGAAGCCAACATGCAGGATGATGAATAACTTACCCGGCACGCAGCTGGTCCGGGATAGTTTCCACGACGGGCTGGCTGACGAAATGCCGCGCGGGTGGAACGAAAGGCGCGCCAGAGCAGTAAGAATAGTGAAGACTTCCCGACCCACAGAAAATCAGTGTGACAAAGAAGAGGCATTGGCCCTAGCTGGAGACAACTGCGACTGGAGTCAAGATGACATGTACCATTGGTGCTTGAGGGTGCAAAGCGCT